ATGGTAAGACATTTGACTCCAGAGCAACTATGTCTTTCTGAAGATGAGGTCTCAATTGTTTGATATGCCTGGATGCAATAATTCATGTGGGGGGCGCACCAGCTACAGTCTAAGTAGACTTGCTAGGGGTTACACAACTGGTCGGGCTCCGGTTAAACAACTGGTCGGGCTCCGGTTACACAACTGGTCGGGCTCCGGTTAAATAACTGGTCGGGCTCCGGGGGTGTCACTTCGGCTATGGGTTGTGCATGGTCGGGCTTCCGGTCGTGTCATTGGTTGTGATTGTGAGGGTCAAACTTTGATTCGTTCATGGTTGTGCTTGTGGTTGTTTGTGTACTAGTGCTCCAGGTTTGTTTGCTCGGGCTCTGTTTATATGTTTGCTAGAAATCCAGGTTTCTTTTTTTTTGGGTATAGTGCATGGTTTGCTATGGTTCAACAGTTGGTGCTCTAGGGCAAGTTGTTTGTGTACTAGTGCTCCAGGTTTGTTTGCTAAGGAATCTGTTTATGTTTGCTCTGGGACTGTTTAGCTTTGTGGGGTTGGATGAGATGTATACTTGCTAGACTTACGGTTACACAACTGGTCAGGGTCTAGTTACACAACTGGTCGAGCTTCGGTTACACAACTGGTCGGGCTTACACAACTGGTCGTGCTCCGGTTACATAACTGGTCGGGCTCCGGGGGTGTCACTTGAGCTTGGGTTGTGCATAGTCGGGCTTTGGTTCATGCATGGTTGTGATCCAGAGGTTGTTTGGTTCGTTCATGCTAGGCTTGCTAGGCACAACTGGTCGGGGTCCGGTTACACAACTGGTCAAGCTTCGGTTACACAACTGGTGGGGCTTCGGTTACACAACTGGTCGGGCTCCGGTTAAATAACTGGTCGGGCTCCGGTTACACAACTGGTCGGGCTCCGGTTAAATAACTGGTCGGGCTCCGGGGGTGTCACTTAGGCTTTGGGTTGTGCATGGTTGGGCTTCCGGTCATGCATGGTTGTGATCCAGAGGTTGTTTGTTTGGTTCGCTCATGCTAGGCTTGCGGTTAGACAACTGGTTGGGCTCCGGTTTCAAAACTTGTCGGGTTCCGATTACATAACTCCAGGGGTGTGACTTGTTGGGCTTTGGGTTGTGCATGGTTGTGCTCCGGTTCATACATGGTTGTGCTCTAGTGGTTGTTTGTGTACTAGTGCTCCAGGTTTGTTTGCAAGGGCTCTGTTTATATGTTTGCTAGAAATTCGAGTTTCTTTTTTTGCATATAGTTAAATTGTTTGATATGGCTCCATAATTGATTTCTAGGGCAAGTGGAGGGTTTTAGGTAGCATTAAGAAGATTTTTGTTGTGTCAAGCTAGGAATGGAGTTTGGTTGTTCTTTGGGACTGTTTAGCTTGGTTGGGGTTGGATGAGATGTATACTTGCTAGGCTTACGGTTACACAACTGGTCGGGGTCTGGTTACACAACTGGTCAAGCTTCGGTTACACAACTGGTCGGGCTCCGGTTAAATAACTGGTTGGGCTCCGGTTAAATAACTGGTCGGGCTCCGGTTAAATAACTGGTCGGGCTCCGGGGGTGTCACTTGGGCTATGGGTTGTGCATGGTCAGGCTTCGGTTCGTGCATGGTTGTGCTTCAGTGGTTGTATGTGTACTAGTGCTCCAGGTTTGTTTGCTAAGGCTCTATGTTTATGTTTATATGTTTGCTGGAAATCAGGGTTTCTTTTTTTGTTTATAGTTCAATGGTTTGGTCGAGCTAGGAATGGAGTTTGGTTGTGCTCTGGGACTGTTTAGCTTTGTGGGGGTTGGATGAGATGTATACTTGCTAGGCTTAAGGTTAGACAACTGGTCGGGGTCCGGTTACACAACTGGTCGAGCTTTGGTTACACAACTGGTCGGGCTCCGTCACTTGGGCTTCGAGTTGTGCATAGTCGGGCTTTGGTTCATGCATGGTTGTGATCCAGAGGTTGTTTGGTTCGTTCATGCTAGGCTTGAGGTTACACAACTGGTCGGGGTCCGGTTACACAACTGGTGGGGCTCCGGTTACACAACTGGTCGGGCTCCGGTTAAATAACTGGTTGGGCTCCAGTTAAATAACTGGTCGGGCTCCGGTTACACAACTGGTCGGGCTCCGGTTAAATAACTGGTCGGGCTCCGGTTAAACAACTGGTCGGGCTCCGGGGGTGTCACTTGGGTTTTGGGTTGTGCATGGTCGGGCTTCGATTCGTGCATGGTTGTGATCCAGAGGTTGTTTGGTTGGATCATGCTAGGCTTGCAGTTAGACAACTGGTCGGGCTTCGGTTTCACAACTTGTTGGGTTCCGATTGCATACCTCCAGGGGTGTGACTTGTTGGGCTTTGGGTTGTGCATGGTTGTGCTCCTGTTTGTACATGGTTGTGCTCCAGAGGTTGTTTGTGTACTAGTGCTAAAGGTTTGTTTGCAAGGGCTCTATGTTTATATGTTCGCTAGAAATTCGGGTTTCTTTTCTTGTATATAGTTCAATTGTTTGATATAGCTCCATATTTGGTTTCTAGGGCAAGTGGAGGGTTTTAGGTAGCGCTAAGAAGATTTTTGTTTGGTCGAGCTGGGAATGGAGTTTGGTTGTGCTTTGGGACTGTTTAGCTTGGTGGGGGTTAGATGAAATGTATACTTGCTAGGCTTATGGTTCCACAACTGGTCGGGGTCTGGTTACACAACTGGTTTAGCTTCGGTTACACAACTGGTCGGGCTCCGGTTAAATAACTGGTCGGGCTCCGGTTAAATAACTGGTCGGGCTCCGGGGGTGTCACTTGGGCATTGGGTTGTGCATGATCAGGCTTCGGTTCGTGCATGGTTGTGCTTCAGCGGTTGTTTGTGTACTAGTGCTCCAGGTTTGTTTGCTAAGGCTCTGTTTATATGTTTGCTAGAAATCTGGATTTCTTTTTTGTATATAGTTCAATTGTTTGCTATGAGTCAATAGTTGGTGTCTAGGGCAAGTGGAGGGTTTTAAGTAGGGCTAAGGAGATTTTTGTTTGGTCGAGCTAGGAATGGAGTTTGGTTGTGCTCTGGGTCTGTTTAGGTTTGTGGAGGTTGGATGAGATGTATACTTACTAGGCTTAAGGTTACATAACTGGTCGGGGTCCGGTTACACAACTGGTCGAGCTTCGGTTACACAACTGGTCGGGCTCCGGTTATATAACTGGTCGGGCTCCAGGGGTGTCACTTGGGCTTCGGGTTGTGCATAGTCAGGCTTTGGTTCATGCATGGTTGTGATCCAGAGGTTGTTTGGTTCGCTCATGCTAGGCTTGAGGTTACACAACTGGTCGGGGTCTGGTTACACAACTGGTGGGGCTCCGGTTACACATCTGGTCGGGCTCCGGTTAAATAACTGGTCGGGCTCCGGTTAAATAACTGGCCGGGCTCCGGTTACACAACTGGTCGGGCTCCGGTTAAATAACTGGTCGGGCTCCAGGGGTGTCACTTGGGCTTTGGGTTGTGAATGGCTGGGCTTCGGTTCATGCATGGTTGTGATCCAGAGGTTGTTTGTTTGGTTTGTTCATGCTAGGCTTGCGGTTAGACAACTGGTCGGGCTCCGGTAACACAACTTGTCAGGTTCCGATTACATTACTCCGGGGGTGTGACTTGTTGGGCTTCGGGTTGTGCATGGTTGTGCTCCGGTTCGTACATGGTTGTGCTCCAGTGATTGTTTGTGTGCTCGTGCTCCAGGTTTGTTTGCTATGGCTCTATGTTTGTTAGAAATGGGTTTCTTTTTTTTTGTATATAGTTCAATTGTTTGCTATGGCTCCATAGTTGGTTTCTAGGGCAAAGGGGAGTTTTTGGTAGCGCTAAGGAGATTTTTGTTTGGTTGAGCTAGGAATGAAGTTTGGTTGTGCTTTGGGACTGTTTAGCTTGTTGGGGGTTGGATGAGATGTATACTTGCTAGGCTTACGGTTGCACAACTGGTCGGGGTCCAGTTACACAACTGGTCGGGCTCTGGTTATGCAACTGGTCGGGCTCCGGTTACACAACTGGTTGGGCTTCGGTTACACAACTGGTCGGGCTCTGCTGACACAACTGGTCGGGCTCCGGTTACACACTGGTCGGGCACCTGGGCTTACCCTCTTTGTGTAATGAAATTTTAAAATAAAGTTAGATATATATACACACATACTAAAAGTATAGGGGTGGTAGGAGAAGAAAATATCAAATATCAAAGTGTTCAGTGAGGATCCACAAGGTCTTCTCTGGGTACTCTTTATTTTCTTCTCTGAGGCTATGGGTCCCTACACTTGCACCAGAGGTGGTACCCCTTTTAGGTTAAATATATATATATATATATATATATATATATATATATATATATATATATATATATATATATATATATATATATATATATATATATATATATATATATATATATATATATATATGTATATAATATGTGTGTGTGTAAATATATTATGTGTGTGTGTGTGTGTGCAGACATAATATTAATAAAACAATTAACATCGTGTAGTGTACTCTATACACCAAAATATATTACTTTGAAACCCGTATCAGTCACTAAACAAAAAATTGGGCTACTCCTATCACAAATTCGCTACTTTTTCACCGTCAGCTCGCTACTTTCAGCAATTTGGATCTGGCAACCCTGGCGCACACTTTCACACTCGCCATAGTCAATATACATCTAAAACTTTTTCTACGCCTCTCTTTACCCATTGTAATAGTTAGACATTCTATGAGGTTTATTTCTTCAGTTTTATCACTTGTTCACACTGATTTAGTTAAAATTGTGACGTCACAAGTCGCACTACACGAACGGTGAGTGGATATAAACATTGAAGGTGTAAACATTCCTTTTTAACTAGTAAAATGCAAATAAAAATTACTGTATAAATATTCTAAATATCATTAATATCCAAATTTAAACACTCTCTGATATAATTTAAAATTAAATAAGTTACAACCTTATATACTTATGCCTTAATGTTTGCCTATATGAAGATAACAACTGTCAAAGTACTTCGCCGGATGATAACGAGCATTTAGTAGAATAACAGTTTTATAGCCCTTCAACACTTGCTCTATTATTTGTTAATTATTGATGCCATGAGACGCTTTCGTAGATGTCTAACTAGTCTGACAGTGGCCCTGCTGTGTGTGCATGTTGGGACAAGCTTGGCTGGTGAAGGTAAGGATCACAATGTGTCAACACGACTACAAGAATGTGTCATATTATCACTGACCTGCATTTGCACAACCCATAGTATCTGTGTATATATAATATATGGTTAAATAATACACAAAGTGTGTTATCGACCCTATAGCACAGTGGTCTACATCCTCCACTCACAGTCGAGGGACTCTGGTTCGTGCTCTGGTCAGGACATCATGTTTACAATGTAAATTTTATAATATTTTATTATGCAGATTTGTTTAGTTAGCTTAAATCTATGATCTCTTGTTCTTTTAGTACCAGGTCTCAAGAATTCTTCCTTATCGATTTTGTTGATTACTGTTACTATTTTGTATGTAGTGATCATATTGCCTCCACTTTTGCCTTGACACTGCTCTTGAGTTCAGTAGGTTCAATAGGCTTATAGAAGCCAAAAAAAAAGAGGATACTGTAATTAGAGACTGATACCTGTAATATACTGTAATTAGAGACTGCTACCTGTTATATAAAGCATATCTTTCAGATGGCTGTAAAGGTCGGGACTATGGCCATGGTAGCACCGTGTGTGTGTGTGACTCTTCCTTTTGTGATACAATCCCACCCATCCAGCTTCCTCAAGTCGGGGAAGCTCTGATTGTGACATCTAATAAGGCAGGGCTCAGATGGAGTGTTTCTACTGGAAAATTTTCACAACATGGGAATGAGATCTCTCCATGTAAGTGATGTTCATAAGCATGGTAGTTTAATTTACACTTCTGTATGCTGTATCTGTTTACTGTTTATTAATGCTGTGCCTTACTTCACTTTTGTCAGACCATAAAAATAAGATCATGTCATCTAGTTAAGTTTTCTGTTTATTTCTTAGTTATCCCATTTGGTTTCACCATTAGTTACGATCCTTTCTGGATCCATTTTGCCAGCTCACGCTGTGAGTGATAAGTGGCTATATAAAAATACAAATGCCTACTATATACAGTATATATTACTGTGATCAGAGCATCTGTAACATTATAAAACCAATTATTATTATTATTATTATTATTATTATTTATTATTATTATTATACTATTATCATCGTAGGTTCACCGGCTGGATCTGCACAACATTGTTTAGAGCAATTTACCTCTGATCCCCATGCACTTCCCATCTCTCTGAGGGAGTCAATGGAAGAATGTATATTGGCTCAAAAATGGTCATTTAATTATAGTCACTAAACAAAATTTGTTCAAATATTTTTAATTTGTTCTTTTTACTTTTCATCTATCTTTTCCAAAGAAGAATTTTATTAATAAAAATTTTCAGAATATTTTAATAATTGTACATATTGAAGGAACCTCAATGGAGCAGGTTAGGGGTTAAATGATCTGTTCATGATTATACAGAGAAGAGAAGAAAAGAATAAATAACTTTCTTGGTATTTTATTTGTTTGAAATCACACAGTGATGATACAATACAATACAATACAATACAATTTTATTTAGGTAAGGTACATACATACAATAAATATTTACAAGGATTGTTTAACTTATAGGTATAGCTAGTACATACAATGCCTAAAGCCACTATTACGCAAAGCGTTTCGGGCATGATAAACTTAAATGACAAGCTTAATACTAATTGAGCATAATGAGTAGAATGAAAACAAGAAATGAAAACATAGATGAAAAAGCAGCACAAATACAATTATGTCGACAAACAGCGCTCTTTAAAGAAAAAAACAGACATTGGTTGACAATAGAAGGGTAAGGTAGGTTACAGGGAATTTATTAGGTATAGCTTCGCTTTTAACTTAAACTGGTTGAGAGAGGTACAGTCTTTAACATGGTTGGGAAGGTCATTCCACATTCTGATAATGTGATATTTTGATAATATTGATGATAATATTTTATTTTAATTATGGCTGTATTTTTGTGGTGGAATGAAAAGATATGAAAGCCATGTAGTGAGTAATTTAATTATTTTGTGTTCCGACAGCTGAAGATGTGAAAATTGAAATAAGCAGCAATGTGCAATACCAAAAGATAATTGGGTTTGGGGGAGCTTTCACAGATGCTTCTGGACTGAACATTCTGAGTTTGCCAGAACCAATGCAAGAGATGTTACTGAGGTAAGTACACTCAACTATCTTGCATACATTAAAACAATGCAGTACTGTAATAAGAAAATAGTCAATAGTGCATTTGAAAGTGTGTGTGTGAATTTGTGTAATATCTTTGTTGCATAACAATGTGTAATTATCCAAGCACCTGTACAGTATAATTACAGGTTGAGAGTTACTGTATACTTCTCATGTCTCAGCTGTGCTATAATCTTGTCATATCGTGGTTTAGAGCTTCTGATGGTTCATGTACAGTAATAAGTATCTTACGTGCAAAACACACTGTCAATCATATGGTAGATCTGCAGATCATCTGATAAGCTGTGCTAAACCTGCATAAGGTAAAAATTCACTCGTGTGCTTCTAAGATAGGCATAAAAGTGATTAACAGCATACAGGTACCACCAAATCTCTGTTCAATACTGTGCAAAGCAAGGGCTACATGCTAACTGCATTCTTTATTGTTATAAATGATTCAAAGTTTTGGAACTGTGCACTATTATAATAAAGAACATGCAAATATTATTTTATAGTAGTAGTTTATTAAAATATCTCTACTTGCAGAGCTTACTATTCTGTAAATGGCCTGGAATATACCTTGGGTCGTGTTCCTATTGGTGGGACTGACTTCAGCACTCGCCCATATACCTATGATGACTTGAAGGACGGAGAGACTGATATGAAGCTGTCTCACTTTGCTCTTGCCGAAGATGATTTGAAGTATAAGGTGACTTTAACTAAACGCTCTATTTTTAAGTATGAATGTATTGGTCATGGTTTCCTTTAAGGCATAATTTGTCATAAATTATGATATAAATATAGATGGATAAACCAGGCCATAATAAGAATAGGGTCATGACAGAACACAGGAGTTTCATTCTTAACTAAGAAAAAAAGCTGGATGCTACAACTTTTACAAACTTATGTCTGGGATCAAAAGCCATCAAACCTGAATACCATTACAAGGAATTAAGCTCGCCAACCTTCTCGCCAGTACCCAGAGCTAGTAGGAGTGCAACCTTTAATGCAAGATCCTCATAAAAAAAAGTGACCCAGACCTACATAGAGGACAAGAAATTAACACTTTCGTCCGGCAGTGACGCAGTCTGTCTCAATAAATAAATTGACGGATGTCCACTTGTGATGCATGTTGTGTCACCAGCTCACGGGTAATGCTTGGCCGACTTTTGGCTTTGCTGTGGTGGGGTGCAGGTGTTTTTGACTTCATAAGCAAATACCCCTGTAGGGAATTCTATTGCAAACAAATTGATACCAAAATGAGCAATGTAGCACAAGATTTGAGTAGGCTGGTCTTAATTCTTGATACACACATACCATACTAAAATGTTTAGTCTATAGTACACAGACTACTGTATCCTAAGATGTTTTAGGTGCTCTGTAACAGTTGAAACTCTCATTGGTACATGGCATTCCCAAACTTTATTTGAAGCCTCCAGTAAACATCTGTCAACTTGAAAAGTGACTTCAGAGTTTTTGAGATATTCTTTCCTAAACTCTGGGTGTGATTTTTAAAAATTTTGAAAGGCAAAAAACCTTGTTTTGCATACCATTTTTTTCTGTGTGCATACAAATAATGCCTGATATAGCCCTTGCATAATGCAAGGGTTAAGGTGAGTTGACCCACCTTAACCCTTGCATTATGCTCACAACCCATACTTTCATTAATGCTACCACCTGATGCCTTATATTTGGGTAAATTCATAATGTAATTCAGAATATTGCTTAGTTCTCTTAGAGGTCCCAGTGATCATTCATAGGTGGTGTTGATCGGCATGAGAGGCACTTTGGTGTTTTTGTCTTATAAATAAGAATTGGGATAAATTTTGTTTAAATAAAATGTAAACAGTGTAGTTATTCCCTGGTATTATATTTATATATCAACATGAGAGACTTTTATACTGTCCACAGATACCATTGATACGCAGAGCAACTAATATGTCGTCGACTCCAATCAAACTTTTTGGTTCAGCTTGGGGTGCTCCAGGCTGGATGAAGGACAATGGACAAATTTCAGGAAAGGGCAAATTACTGAAAAAAATGTACATGACTTGGGCTGAATACCATGTTAGGTAAATATTCTATAATCATTGGTAATGCAAACATTTAATGAGTTGGGCACTATTTTTTATGCAGCTTGATACTGTATTTAATTTTAGTCTGGATATGTCAAGAGCATGGTCATGAGATACATAAAGACGGACTTACTGTACTTTGTGGTGTAGTGGCTAGTGCCCCCACTTGCTCGCCTTGCAAGTGAGGACACTCGCTCACAGTCAAGGTTCGAATCCGGGTAGGATGGGATGATTGGTCACCATTCCTTCACTGTTTGCTCATGTGCACCAAGCATTAATTGGAGATCTGGATGTATAACAATTAGCACTGAATAATCAAACTGGTTCAAACCTGGCCAGAGGCATCAAACACTAACAAAGAGTGAAGATGGGTAGACATTGTGAATGACTGTTGAAGTAGGGATTATGAGTAAACAATGCACAAAGAATGCTGGGAATAGAGTTTGGTGGAATAAATTTAAGGACAAGTGAATGTTTAACACTTTAAATGACAATTCATGGGAAGAACTTTACATATAGGTATATCAAACAGCAGGGGTACTGCTGTGGATGGTTTGCTGGAGTGACCGTACTGTAATGCTATGTAGTGCAGATGAATTTTCACAGACCTCCGGCTTCATGAGATAATAGTCCAAGTAGATGTTAAACTATATTACTCATATAATACATAACATCTGCACATTCATTAAATGTGTTCAGTATATTGAGGTTTCTAGTTTTATTAGTAGAAAGATGCTTGATTTAGTAATAAATTCTATATTCAACAGATTTATTAAGAGCTATGGAAAGTACAACATTTCATTCTGGGGTCTTACCACTCAAAATGAACCAAGTGATGGCCTCGAGGAATCTTTCAATTTTAATTCTGTTGGATGGACTCCTGAAGATCAGGTGTGGTTTTCATTTAAGTAATTTGTTGTTTTTGTGTTTAACCACTGGACTGCTCGGCTTCCAAATACGGCACATCCCCCCCCCCTGTGTGCAGGAAATAAATTCTCTGGGAAAAATTATTTTCTTTTTTGAAAGTGTCATACATAAACATAATTGACAAACATGTTTGTCATACACAAATATTACATAAACAATTTCATCTATCCTTCACACCTTATAACTACAATGTCAGCTAGTTACAAAGAATGTTCTATTTCAAGAGCTATATATTAACAGTAAGTCATTATACATACATGGTAGGTCTTATTGCTAATACACAATTGTTTGAGCAGTGAAGATATTACAGAGTTATAGGGGAACTGCTGTTTATTATTCTTCAGAATACACTCAGTCTTCACAATACACAATTTATTTTTCAAAGGATTTCAGGTATTTTATCCTTGGTAATAAGATAGGTTGCCATATCATACAGCATGAGCTTAGATTTATCTCTAAATGGCTGTTTTATTACATTCCAAGATATAGTGTTCGAGTGTGTGTCCCTGTCTTTGTCCACACACTTTACACTTTAATTCATCTAGATCCCTATACAAGCCAAACTGCCAGAGATACTTGTAGCAAAGTCTTATTCGAGCTGTGACAACGCCTGTTAGTCCGCTAACTTTGTTACTTGCCCCATACTCATGTTTTACTTCACACATTTCATTGTGAATAAACAATGGACCTCCTAGTTCCAGTTTGCACTGTTCTGCTTTCTTCAAATTCATCCAAAAGTTCTCGTCTAATGACACTTTTAAGGGACCTACAGTATTTGATAACTCAAGATTCCATTCAATTCTGTCTTTATTTACTGCAACCTTAGCAAGGGCGTCAACTTTATCATGTTCCTGCAGGTCAATGTGAGAAGGAATCCACAACATTTTAATATTTACCCTTTTGCTAAGTATGCTTATATATCTGTCTGGCTTCTGAGACAAGCACATTATTACTTGATTGCAAACTATTTATTGCTAGTAGTGAGGAAAGGGAATCGGAAATAATTAAGCTGTCTACTTCAATGTTGTCAATAATTTCAAGTGCTACCAGTATTGCTACTAACTCGGCTTGCATTGTGGATGCCTAGTTACTAATTCTTATATTCCTTTGAATTGTGCTGCCATCGAGCTGATGAGCAATAACAGCACTTCCTGCCCTCCCTGTAGCTGTATTGAGTGATCCGTCAGTGATACGGTCTGTGCTATGTTGTTTTCAGTTTGTATATTGTGAATGTGTTCTATGATGTTTAGTTTAGCAGCAAGTTGAGCATGAGGGTTTTTTGTGAGTTGCTTGGTGGGGTATGCAGGCATCAGGATGTCAAAAGGTACTATCTGTCAGGGTGGAAGGAAGTGCTGTACTCTTTCATCAGCATATACATCATGCAGTCCCATCATTTTAATATGAGGGGCTGTTCTTTGAATCCATTTAGACTCGCTGGTTCCATTACGTATGTGTTCTAACAGTTCAACTTACACAATGTTGTTTTTGTTATCATGCAGAAGCTTTAGTCCCATCATAAGATTGATTTCAAATATTCTATCTCGAATGCTAAGTATATTTAATTCTTTCTGCATATTGAGAACTTTGGTAGTTATAGGACAGCCAAGTATAATTCTGAGTGCTTCATTTTGCATTTTTTCCAGTCTATCAATACTTTTACCATTTTGAAGGACTAAAGCTTATAGTTCCCTTCTGCCCCATGGGGGATGGAGGCAAATTTGGGAAGCCCATGAGTGAGAGGTGTGGGCTGACTGGGATCCCAGTTGACCTGGGTTGCCATCTGGTGGTGGTTGAGTGAGATGTTGTTTACTTATGGCCTACTATCGTTAGCCTTATTTCTTAAACATTAATTTTTTTTCAAGAGATGTTGTTTATATGGTTTTGCCTGTAACTTCTGGGATTATTTTATCAAGCTGAGGGTGATCTTTGATCCCCCTATCCTCTATGAACAATCCAGGTTCTGATCCTAATTTGCAGTAGGTCGTGCAGGTCTTGGGGGTCTGGTGGCATTTGTAAGTCTGTGGCATTGGAGCCTTAGGTGCTGGAAACCTACTGAAGGCTGCCAAGAAAAAGGCATATCATTACCTCCAAAACTACCAGTATTTCTGGGGGGAGCCCCGTCGGCTTCCCGGAGCTATCGCGGCTGATATGGATATATTAGCTTTCTGGCACCAGTCAATGTGCATGGAGTTCTTGCCTACCTGGGACCACGAGCCAGAACCTGGCCCCCACTCAGAGAGGCACGAGGAGCAATGGCCTATAAAAACCCCCCGTGTCGTTGGGACCATTCTATGTCTGCCATTAACCGGGTCTGGCACCCAGAAAGGTAAGCGCCCCAAAACAAACCCTTATTCTGGTGAAAATATTGCTATTGAAAGCCGAACGAGTGGACAGAACTCTCCCAAGTGAAAATTAGCAAACTAGCATGACGTCATCACGTTGCCAGCAACCCCCCTTCCCCTTTCCCAGGAGGGGGAAGGGGGAGCCACAGACCCTCGCACCGGCGATCTAACCTTCAATTCTTGGCTGATGTGTTGCTGGCAAGGTCGTTTGCCTCTGGCTCCAGATTTTGTCTGTTTCTGTGCCTTGTGGCATGGTTCTGTCTCTTTGGTTGGTATGTGAGCCAAGAGTATTATTCTTCAAGTACTTGGGCTGCATGCACCTAGGGGTTTCCTTCCCTAGGTACCCTTGTAAGTACTGCCCTTGGGGCTTGGGGCTACCTTCCACAGGCCACCTTGGGTCTACCTCTGGTGTCTTTTACTGCTCGGTGACAGACCACCCTTGGAGTTAGCTGGGGTTTTTGTTTACCCCTGTTTGTCTCCGAGTAGGGGGTAGTTTTCATCAAAAGCTTATCACCTCTTGTAGCGACTGGCTCTTTTCCACCTGGGCACGTTGTCCTCTTGTGGGGTTTTCTTTTCCTTTTTGTTTTCTCTGCCCGGTGGAGAGTCTGCCTCTTGATTGGTCATACCCTATTGTTATTGGTGGTCTTCTGCTAGGCCCCCATACCCCCGTGAGTGTACACGTCCCGGGGGTGTAACATTTAGTAGTTTGCTTGGTAATTTTGGGGTGCCAGTTAGCTGTAATCTGCCTGGGCTTAGTGCTTAGCCTTTCCCAAGGCTAAGGGCCCTGGGAAACCCCGCGGGGACTCCTTGGTCCGATGGATGCGACCCCCTGAGTTCCTCTCTCCCTTCGTGCGAGGTTGACAGTTGCTCTGTCCTCTTGTCTAAGGGTGACAATCACCGGTTGTGCCTCCACCATGCTGCCTATAGGGTTGGTGATTCCCCTGTGCATTGCTTAGGTGCTTGTAAGGTGCATCAGCCCTTTTGTGGTTCATCCTATTGACGGGGGTGGGGGATGAGGGGGTGGCTCGCTCTGTTTGCCTGCTCCTGGTCCTATGATTTGTGGGTGTTTCAGGTCATTTTGTGCGGCCTGTGGTGGTGTTGGGTGGCCCCTCTTCCTTTGGGGGGTTCGGGGCTGGCGGGGCAGGCCTCTTCTCCTGCTCTGTCAGGTCGTCTTGGAGTGGGTTCGCTTGGGCGTGGTCGAAACGACCTTGTCCCTCATGTGGGTTTCCTGCCTGTTTCCGGTCCCGAAACTGGACTGCACGGACCTCAGGTTCAATCTGGACTTGTCCTGTCTGAACCCGTGGATTTATTGCTCCTCCTTTCGTATAACTACTCTATCCCAGGTCTGTCTTCTGTTGGAGCCGTACGCTTGAATGGTGTCTGTGAACCTCAGAGACGCATATTGGCACATCTCGATAGACAGAGGCATGACAACATGATGTCATGCTACTGTAGTTTGCTAATTTTTATTTGGGGATTCTGTCCACTTGTTTGGCTTCCATAGCAATATTTTCACCAGAATAGTGGTTTGTTTTGGGGCGCCTACCTTTCTGGGTGTCAGATGCGGTTGATGGCAGACATAGAATGCTCCCAACCACACTGGGATTTCTATAGACCATTGCTTCTCGTGTCTCTGAGGGGGCCAGGTTCTGGCTCGTGGTCTCGGTAGGCAAGAACTCCATGCACATTGACTGGTGCCAGAAAGCTAATCTATCCATATCAGCCTCTCGAAAGCCTCCGGATCTCGCCCAGAAAATAACATTTCATTACATTCAACACCGGTTTTTGGGGTTTGCAGGAGGGTTATACAAGACTCTTATACCTTACAGTTACAACATAGCAGAATATTTGTGCTTCTTCATAGTGAAATATTTCTCTTCCACTAAAATCTGTTTCTCCACCTGAGTTTTTGTTGTTGCATTATATAATAAAGTATTTTACATTCGTTTGACCTTTGTATCAGGCAAGATGGATTGGACAGCACCTTGGCCCTGCCCTGCACAACAACAGCCTCAGTCATTTGAAAGTTATGATTTTGGATGACAATCGTATCTTCTTACCCAAATGGGCAGATGATGTAAGTTCTCGTGATGCATATTTTGTGCTATGATTCTACATATTTCTTAATACGTTTTCATATCACAAATATTAACTGTTCAACCAGTTGTTGATATTGTAACTTTATAATCATTTATAATCAACAGTTAATCATCAACAAAAATTAAGAAACAAATTTCAAAGTCCTTCAATCTCCATCAATTGTTTAATTTGTTGGGTGTGTTGTAGAAAATTCTTGACAGTTGAATATGAACATGTACAGTATAGTAAATAGACCCACATAAGGAATTGAAATAGAAAAGTTGATGCAGTGTAATGTTGGGTTACTACATGTTTCAGAATGTTTTGAGTTATTTAATTAGGTTGCTCCTGAGGCAAGATCTACAATATAATTTGTAGATCTATAGTTAATGCTGTATACCCAAGAATGTAGAAAGAACAGTACATTACATAATCTCAAAATTCTTTCCAGGCTTATCTTGACATCAAAGTTACTGGCAAGCCATCCCTTAACTAACAACCAATCAACACATTAGTTCGCTTCACCCAATAACAACCAATTAGCAGCACTAATGCCACAATAAAACCCTCCAGCCTAACAAACATTTCCCCCCCCCCCCCCACCCCTTCTCACTGTCTTTCATACGCCAACAAGAGTCATCAGTAAAGGTAAGATATAACTTGTGCATAATGTAGTACAAAGTATTTGTAGTATTATGTATTAAATGAATTTTTAAGTTAATATTTTTGGGAGTGTGGAATGGATTAATTAAATTTACATTATTTCTTATGGGAAAATTCGTTTCGGTTTACGAACTGTCTCTGGGAAAGGATTAAATTTGTAAATGGAGGTACCACTTTACTTGGTCAGCTTTTACAGTAGTGATGTTTCTCCTCTTAAATTTTCCTTCATTACATTCACAGTTGCTAGGTATTTTGTATCAGGATTCATGTATTTGTGTTTATCATAGTTTAATTTACCAACTGGTTCTCTATTCTAGTTCTGTAGTGCACCAACAATGGTTTTCTCTGAGTTTTCCACTGTAGTTTGGCCACTTCTTGGCTTTGAATCTAGCATGACCCAGCAGGAACAGTTTAAAAAGTTCTGTTATAGTGTTGTTGAATGCTGACTTGCTCTGACTTTGGCAGATCCTTACCAGCAGTTGGTAGAATCTTGCCTTAGCGAGCAACTGAGTATACTGCTTAGAAAATTATTTTCACATGCACTCATAGGGATTTAAAATGTGCAGTGTCTTTAGGGTCTGTTTTGTATTATTAACCTTATTAATTGTAACTATATTATGCATAAAATAAAATTGAGAGATTTATCATCAGATATGTGGTACAATATATGGGAACTAAATAGATTATGATTGTGCTACAGATCATGTCCGACAGCAGAGCAGCTGCGTATGTTTCAGGAGTGGCTGTCCACTGGTACACAGACTGGTTCACTCCTAGTTTGGCTCTTGATCTGACACATGAGCATCACCCAGAGCTTTTCTTGCTTTATACCGAGGCTTGCACAGGTGAATAACTACAGTTGTGTTTTGTCATTCACTTTTCTTTGACTGAATGGTTAGTTAAATATTTTTTATCATTTATGTTTGACAACTGCAATGGGGATGGTATTGTGTAGTCATTCCAAAATACTTGAATGGAGTACTTAAAATATTTACCACAAAAATTCCAGCTGCTGGTTTGGCAATCACATGAGTGAAGCAGCAAATACCTGCTAGTGGAAACAGATGGAAATAATAAAGGAAAAGATGTCCAGGGACAAGTAAATGTCAGTACTAGGCAAGGACCATCCTTGATAAGCCTAACAGCCTTCCTATGCCTAACACTGGGAACCATCTCCTCTGCTGCTGATTAGCAGTGACTTCAGCATCATACAGCTCCACTACCCTGATAATAACTGCTCTATCAGTTTGGTTTTCTTCCTTTTATTCTTTTTTTTTTTAGAGTTGTTGATGTTATTGTTTCATTATTTAACTTGGTGAGTGGTTTACCTTAGTTGTAGCAGATATTTGATCCCCATGTGCTTCCTTGACCTCTGAAGGGCCAGAAATTGCCACTGGATCCCAGTAGGCCAAGACATTCAGGAAGAAACTTTTGTGCTATCTGTCAATTGAGGTCCAGGAAGTTACCGAGGTGCTGCATAGGAAGTGGCATTTCTTTATACTGTACTCAACACTATTTTTGTTTTCTCTAATTGTTGATCATATTACTTTATATTATTATTATTATTATCGCTCTATATTTCTGCTCTCTTATAAATACTCTTAATCATAAACAGTTCTAACTTAGCCATCCTAACATCATTCAAAACTAATGGACAAAATGACATTCACAATTTTATATTTACCCTTTATTTCTTCATTTCTTCTTCAGGACAGTGGCCATGGCAGCCTTTGAAGGTAGTGCTGGGATCGTGGGTGAGGGCTGAAGAGTATGCTGCTAATATAATAGAGGTATTGTACAATATACAATATACGTATCTTGGAATAGGTGAGTGGGATAATACCAGTGCTGCTGTAATTGAAGAGGCAGTGTCTTATCTAGAGAATATTACTGTATTTTGAACATTTCTGCATCTGTCTGCTTGCTTAGCAACATTATATCTATTGAGTGTTGCTCCTGATTCAACATGTGTGTTTAATCCATTTAAAATGAGCATGCTGCTGATATGTACATTGTACAATGAGTGTAGTGTCAGTTTAACTTTTTTGGCTACACTTTTTGATATAACAAAATTTGAGCAAAAATATTAGAGTGGAAGATGACTACTCGGTGGAGTAGAACAGATAAGAGATGGGAGCAAGCACGCTCCTATGCTACAGGACACACCCACATTTATTTACCCTCTCATAAGTAAACATAAAAACAAAAATACCCTCTCATAAAAACATTCATTATTGTACATTCCTAATTGTTGAGAAGATGCCTGCTATATGTTAATGCTGCCTGACTGTGCTTTATTCTTAACATAACACTCAGTGGATCAAATACCTTAGAAAGTGCCAGTGATATGCACACAAGGGTGCTTTTCATATCAGTCTTTTACAAACAAAAAACAATAAAATAAAATAAATAAAAAAGTTTTACTTATCTGATATGTTAATATTGTACACTCCTCAAATTTGTTTCAACATTTTATTATAAGTGAAATACTGTATAGTATTTTACGTGAAGTCCCATTTTTGCATAATACATTTAATATTGCATCATTGCAGAATCTGGAGCACTGGGTGTCAGGCTGGACTGACTGGAACCTTGCCCTGGATGTGAAGGGTGGACCAAACTGGGTAAAAAACTTTGTTGACTCGCCTATCATTGTTAATGCTGTAAGTACATTTTTAAATCTTATTAAATGCATTTTTTAACACTGTAGCTTCTTCACTTCTGTCCTTTTGTATTTTTTTTCAGAAGTTATAACATTTGTTTATTGTAATGTATTGTTTCTCTTATTTTAATTAACCTTTCAGAAACAATATTTTTTATGGCAAGGGTGTGATTGGAAGAGGAGGGTATTGGAAATCTCTCGAGAAATTGGGCAGTGATATTCTTGATGGATTTCATGGAAGGGCGTGTAAATCAGATATTTGTACAGTATTGAGATAGCTGATGGAGAAGGTATGGGAGTTAGACAGGGCTTCCTTTCAAATTAAAAGTGAGATATTGGATGCTTTCATCTTGACTGGAGTTGATGGGATTTCATTTACCTCTTTCCTCCACATTTTTGTACTCCTTTCTGTACTGTCCAGGCTGGAGAGTTTTGTGAACCACTTTGTGTTGCTGGATACAAAGTGGTTGAATCTCTGTTTCTCTCTCTCTCTCTCTCGTTGCTCTAGCAAGTGCCCTTACAGAGGTTCTGTCTCTCTTGGAAGATTAACCTACATGGGGTGACTCTTGGCTCTCTGCAGATTGTTACATATGAAATTTAGTTTTCTAGTATCATCACTTATTACTTATATTGTTGACAAGTGGCAAACATTTTGGTGTTGCACCTTCGAGTGCATTCAAGGTGGCAATATGAGGTGACATTACAGGATTTTTATTATGGGTTCCTCTGATCCTTTTGTGGTGATGGCTGTGGTCAAGATAGTAACAGAGTGCTCAGTCGGTAGTTAACAGAATGATAATTCAGCCTATTCTCCAGAGTGTTCCTAATGCCACAAAACTGTTGTACTAAATTGCTCAAACCTAACCTGACCAAGGACCACTGGGACATCACAGCAATTTTGCGAGCCACTTCCATTTTTAATACATCAGTTTTTGGCCTTAGGGAAATTATACATCAAAATGTAATGTACTATTCAGGAAAACAAGTTAGATTTATTATTTGTATGATAATAAGTTGGAATCTTGGTGGTGGTTCAAGTTAGCTTCAGTTAGCTCTCTTCCCAACTTCATAAATATTTTGACTGTTACTGGCCATGCATATATTTTATATACTGTACAGTATAGACAAATAAGTCAACAAATACTGTTGAACAGAAAATGTCTGTGAATGCGCATAGGCCACTGGCTTTTGAGAGCAATTTAGGGATTGGTTTAGAACCGAACATTTCATTTCACTCACTGCTCTATTTTTACATACCTGGTAGTGTACATGTAGGTATAATTTTTTAATTCATTGTTTTATTTTTAATTCCTATTCCATTTATGCAAAAATATTTATTTATATCATGAAGAATTATTGTAAAAACTTTAATAAGTAAAAGCATTCTTAAGTTTATGCATGGTCATGTACCATTATTTACTTTTCATTTGTTGTAATTGTAAAGTTATTGCATGTTCTACATAAATTATATGAAAAATGTTTAGTAATACTGTATAGCTTAATTTTCACTTATAATTTTCTAGCCACGAGGAGAGTTCTACAAGCAACCCATGTACTATGCTTTGGCTCACTTTACTAAGTTCTTGCCAGAAGGCAGTCAGCGTGTGGCATTGAGAGCTATTTACTCTGGAGAGTCAACAGCTTCCTTCAGTCATACTGCATTTATACGCCCAGATAATGCAACTGTTCTTATATTTCTGAATAAGTAAGTTGATTTAGTGCTGATTTATGTTGAATAATAATGTGTATCAGGTAATTTTGAGTTGTGGATACCCAAGCACAGATACCATAAGTGAGATGTGGATATGTGAGTGATTAATATAGTGTAATCAGGGAAGAACAAGATACATAGTATATGAATTTAGAGAGTATGCCAATAGTTTTAGAATTTTTTTTTTAAGGTTTTGCATGGTTATTGAAATTCAATTTGTTGTCAATGTTAACACCATGGATTTTCCCTTCTGCTATACTCTCAATTTGGGAATTGCTTATTCTTGGGCCAATTTGACTGCCTGACTTATTTCCAAATAATATGTAATATGTTTTTCAGTGTTAAGGATGTCAGTAGTCAGCCATGTGAACTTCTTTGAGTTCGGTATTCACTGTGTCAGAATAAATGGATGAACACTTGTAGAATGTACTTTTATTCCACAAATTTAATTTGCTTTCTGTACATTATATTTGAATGGAAAATGAGCGTTATATTTTGGTCATGCAATCTTTCATAGGAAACATTTTCTTCTAAAATTAACACATATCAAAACAGTAACAATATAAGTAGGTTATACCTGAATGTATATGAAGTGCAGTAATATTTCTGAGTAACCACTTAACAAACAGGTTTTTATAGCTATGATAAATTTTTATTGTACTTTAACTTGTTAATATTACTTTTGTTGTCTTCTTCCCAGGGGCCATAATGTAGCAAAAGTAAGAATTATGGACAACGCTGGAGAGATGGTTCTCTCAGTAGATCCCCATACTATCATCACACTTGCCTGGAACACATCAGTTGGAAGGTGATTTGGTTGTGTGTATTTCTGAGGTCCTTCAGTAGTCCCCAGTGCTTGTGTGTTGGAACCACTAGGGACTGTACAGTATTAATAAAATTCTCAAGTACCTTTTTATACTGTAATTACCCTTTTGTAATATTATTAATGGACTTCTCAATACTATGTGATGATAAGTTTTGCATTTATATTGCAATAAAAATATATTCAATTAGTACCTGTATTTTATCACGTTAATCTTCCTATAATTGAAAATCAACACTGTATTTGAAAAGAAATATATTTGGGGCTTCTGTGTTCCTCAATCTATCAACATTCTATATAGACCATGGGCTACATGGGATTGTGTTAAGTTATATTCAACTAAGTGGCAGCTGTAACTAATAATGAGGATTCAGATAAACATTGTTTTAGCATTTGAGTTGTAGATGAGTGGAACAAACTGTATAGTAGTGCACACAGAAATCACAATTGCTTGATACATCAAATGAACAGATCCACAAGGGCTGTGATGAGGGTTCGAAACCTACGTCCGAGATAATCCCAGAGGCGCGTCTGGGATTATCTCGGACGCAGGTTCGAACTCTCATCACGGCCCTTGTGGATTTGTTGTGTGATATGCTATTGTTATGCTATTGTGATTTTTGTGTGTATTGAAGTAAGGGCGAAGAGGTAGAATAGCTTGTTGACAGAGTCTGGGTGCATGGGAAAATTGTGTAAAACCCTGATTTGTCTCGAAGAGGCTGCAGGAGCTGTTTGAGGGGCAGTAGCACTCCAGATTGCAATTATTTTGACCATGTCGTGGCGCAATCAACTAAGGCACATTTGGGATTATCTCGGTTGTAGGTTCGAACCCTCATCACAGCCCTTGTGGATTTGTTCATTGTATAGTAGTGTCTTTGAAATACACTGTAGATAACTTTGGCCTAATAAGTCTGAAAGACAAGAGGGATACCTCATTTGCTTTTTGGAGAGAGTTGTATGGTTTATTAGGGTTGTTCTTGAGTATTTATTTCCAGACAAAAAAATGACTGCTGATTTAATACTCAAGAACAGCCCCAATAAACAATAAAAACCCTCTCCTAAAGTAAACATGGTATGACCGCCACAAAGCTTATGAGAAGAATGACTTGCCATAACAAGCTGGTGCCTCCGCACACCATATGTAAAGTGAACATAAAACAACACTCTTTAGGAACACGCTACTGTAGTACTGTACATAATACAAAAAATCTGAAAAACTGACCAAAGAAGATTGCAAATCCTGAAAGCCATATTTATAAGAAACGAAAGATCCACCATACTACAGAATAATGACTTTGTTTCCTTGCCAACACTCGGGCCTAGATCTCGCCATACATCATCGGATAATGTCGTCTCTACCATGGTCTACCCACCGAGAGTACCAAAGTTTTACGCAATACCTTACCACACATTTTATTGGCCCTATCCCCTTACCCTATGTTTGATTGCCGCTATCACCTCACCCCCCATACTCCTTCGACTGTTTCACATGTGTATTTAACCAAAAATTGTACCTCATGCGTATGTTCTTTACCTGAAGATGTTCCAAAGAGGAACAAAATGTAGAAAATAAATCCTTCAATAATTGCTAGAGTTTTTTACCATGAAATTTGATAACTTGAGTGCTCTTCTTAATACTGATGCTGTACTTAGAAAATAAAAGCAAAGAAAGCTTACACTATAAGCTATAAGATCAACAATGCCAGCAAAGTGGTCATATTTAACCAGATATGCTTGCTGACTAGGCATTTCAAAATACTGAACAAGTTAGAGGATGTCAATCTGGTTATTTTCTTCAGAAGGTCAGATGTAACACAAACATGGAGCAAACGTTTCAAGTTCAACAAGCCACAATGTAGGACTGAGAACAGGAGATGCTTTTTCACCCACAGGGTTATTAACCCACGGAACCGCCTACCTGATGAAGCCGTAACTGCCAAAACTGTGCTGAATTTCAAAATATACCAAGAAAAGATCATCAAGGCAAATGGGTAGGACCTTCGACAAGCCGCCAGCTTCCTGTCCTCGTCGAGGCCACTACGGTTAGTGGCCCTCAGGTAAATCAGGTAAAATCTGACCTGAAGAAAATATCTGGATCAATATCTCTAACTTGTTCAGTATTTTAAAAGTTTCAATGAGATCTGCGCTGTCATGCCTGGTTTGCAGTGTTGTAAGCTCTGTGGCTTTCAAATGGACCCCTGTGGACCCACTTATCACATTTATCCATTCAGATTCGTTTTCATTTAGCACGACTCTTTGTTTTATTTCCTTCAACCACTGTTTTATCCATTCTAATATTTTACCATTTATTCCATGGGCCTGTAATTTCCTTGCCAGTCTTTCATGTTGTTCCTTATCGAAAGCTTTACCAAAATCCATGTATACTAATCCACCAGGAGGCCCTTGTCTGAGTAGCTGGTTACCGTTTCCAAAAATGTGAGCAAGTCTGTAAGGCAGGATCTGTTTTTAACAAATCCATGTTGTGTCGATTGTACAAGTTTGTACAGATGAGTAACTACTTTATTTTAAAAAAATCCAAGCAGTTTTTTCTTATAGAAAGGTCTCCGAGGGTTCTTAGTGATTATAAGTATATATTTATTTTGTTTATGGTACAATGGCGTCGTGACAGGGCGAGTCATAAGGTGGGGATGTTGAGTACAGGTGGCAGCAGTCTGGTCCTGGTGGTGGTGTTGCTGTATGCTCTGTTGTGAGATTGTTCCAGAAGCTGAGGTCAGCTGGTCGTATATTCTCTCCCACCGTCTGGTGCGGATGTAGCAGTACTTACTAACGGCAATGATGTAGCTGCTACAGATGCGTGTACAGGAAGTGTGTATTGGAAGTGTGTACAGAACATGTACTGGAGGCGTGTACAGAACGTGTACTGGAAGTGACAAGATGTGTGTACAGGATGTGTATACAGGACATGTGACATGTGTACATGACATGTGAACTGGATGTGTATACTGGATGTGTGGAATGGACGTGTGGACTGGACGTGTGGACTGGACACGTGGACAGGACATGCATACTGAACGTGCATATTGGACGGGTGTACAGGACGTGTTGACAGTTAAGTGCACCCACGCTCAGGGAACATGGACACGTTGAACAGGTGCTTACCTAGTTTTTTAGTTTAGTTCATTTATTATGCACCCCATACCCATCTTGTGGGCGGTAGTGGAAAGGATTACAGAGGCACATAATGGGCTCAGGGACTGAACCCCACAATTCATTTAGCTAAGCAAGTTACAATCTTGATGAGCTAGTTACAAAATTCAATACACATCGTCACATCATCAATGGGTTCGAGATCTACCACAAGTTCAGTTTCTAAATTAAGCAACTGACATGTGTGGAGAGCTAATGATCAGCTAGTGTCACAATCTCGTTGCCGGTGCCATTGCTAGTTGGCCGCACACTGATTTGTTTCCTGGAAAACTTCAGAATCTGAGCACCCCATCAGCTCAAATGATCTCGGTTTTGTGAGGAAGAATACATCAATACTCCAAGACCCAGAGAATATCTTGTTTGGAGGGAAACAATACCGATTTCGTCTATAATTGATGGACAACGTTGTTGATTAGCTGTTGTCTGGCTGACTGGTATTCTGTGCAACCCAGTACGCAGGCGACCCAAACTCTCGTACAGCACGTCGCCCATAACAGATTTTTTTTTTTGTGAGGATCTTATCACTGACCAGGTCACTTAGAGTCCTACCATGAAGGACGAGGCGATACCCGCAGGTCCTACCCTGAAGGGCGAGGCGATATCCTGCGGGCATCGCCACAAGGGGGCACCTTAGAAGGTGTACTGAGCCTGACAGGGAAAGGTAGACAAAACTGCTCATTAAGGTGTTAGGTATCCCTGATTCCATCTGGGGGAATCATTTTACGACCTCCGTTGGAGGGGAATGAATTTCTCCATGCCTAGGAGTGTCTCAGGCATTAGGTAGGGCAGTGAATCAGTCCTCGCTACGTGGATATGTCATGGGTAAATCAAAGAGAAAGAGGCAAATGGAGGCAGCTTTCAGATGAGGAGGGACAGTGGACGGAGGTGCAGCAGGCACGGAAGAAAACTGCTATCGAGGCTTCACCACGTACTTCTATCAGCAAGACAGCAGCAGACACAATGGACCTAGAGTGGACAGCATCAGTCACACACCAGCCAGTGTCAGACAATGCTTCTCGGTCCACAACCCAGCCACAAGACGACAGTATGAGACAGGAGAGGACAGCACCAGTCTCACACCAGGAAGGTGCGGAAAGTGTGTGTGGAAATGTGTGGAGCTACGAGGAAAGGCTAAAGGAGCTGAACCTAACGTCCCTGGACAACAGAAGAGTAAGGGGAGACATGATAACCAGCTACAAATTTCTCAGGGGAATTGACAGAGTGGACAAAGACAAACTCTTCAGCACGGGTGGAGCACGAACAAGGAGACACAGGTGGAAACTTAGTACCCAGATGAGCCACAGAGACGTTAAAAAGAATGTTTTCAGTGTCAGAGTAGTTAATAAATGGAATGCACTAGGAAGTGACGTAGTGGAGGCAGACTCCATACACAGTTTCAAATATAGGTATGATAGAGCCCAGTAGGCTCAGGAATCTGACAACCAGTTGATTGATGGTTGAGAGGCGGGACCAAAGAGACAAAGCTCAACCCCCGCAAGCATCACGGGAAAAGGGTAAACGTGCCTGTATTGTATGCAAGAACACTACCCGAAGAGAACAAAAGCGAAGATAGAAGAGACAACTCTTGTATATAAAAAAAGATGCATCAGCACCTGGTGCGTTGAGTGCAAAGTTCCACTATGTCCCGTTGGATGTTTCGCAGCATATCACACACTTGTAGAGTTCTGAGTGTGTTGATGGTGTGTGTATATAGTGTGTGATACTGTACAGTGTATAAATAAATTGTAAATATACATAATTTTATTGTAAATTGTAAATACATTGTAAATATTGTAAATACAAATTGTAAATATGACAGGCTCCAATGTGTTTCTGTGAATAATACAATTTCTCCCACCCTACCCATCAACATTGGTGTTCCCCAGGGCAGCATACTTGGCCCTCTCCTCTTTCTCATC